GAGCAGAGATACGTAATCGAAAAAAACTGTTTTCTAATCACTGGGGTTGTGACAGAACTTATCTGGGACTTTTACCCTGTTAGTCAGAATAAGCAGTAGCTTTGTACTGGAGAAACCGAGTGAACGCTTGGTCGGAAGAGAAAAAGTTGGTATTGAGAAGAGTTTAATGCATATAAGTCTTGATGTCATAAATTATCAGTGAGAATCTTGCTTGCGAACTTTGACCTGGCCTCAATGTATTGTCCATATTGCAGTTTGGTGATAGCTTCAACGGGAATAAGCGAGAGATACTAATTATTGCAGCTCTAAATATCCTGGAGGTTTCTCTTGAACAAATCGGGGAAGACAAGTCGGAGTTGTAAACTGAAATTGGTAGGAGACACTGATATTCAGGCGAAACAACGTCGGGTTGTTTGACTCCAAATCTGTCTGAGTCAATGAAGTTTACCGGACGGTAGTTGAACTTCTTTTTACTGAAACCCTGAATAAGAAAAGACCAGTATAAATCGGTCCTGCTTGTAACACTAAAGCACGTTACAGACAGAATTCTCAGTACAGAACAACACTAATTGATGTCCATGGGCTCGTGTTAGCCAGGTTGTTCATTCCATGCACTGAATAGGCCCATTCTCTACACCTGGCTGTGACAGTTTTTTTCCAAAATATAACAAACGGACGTTGCTAGGTTCGTTCTGGACAAAACCCTCCTCACGGAATGCGCGGACAGGAAAAAAGTACATAGATGCTTATTCACAACAAAAAAGCTATTTTCATTGAATTCATTCGCTTGTCCAGCGCTCGATGTTTATGCCCAATCTCGGAGAAAAACAACTTCGGGTAATACTGAATGATTCCGATTGGGTTCGTGCTGGGCATCATCAAATGCTGGAACACTGCTAGATATATGCGTGTGTGTGGATTGAGTGACACTTTTATGATCCATAAACCTAATCCCAATAGAATGATTATTCCTATGCGAATTATTCAGTAATGTCCATAACCAGGTGGTAGCATGTTCTCATCATTCGTGCGAAGGTGGAACAGAATGTGTTCCGAGGCTACTTACTTTTGCACTTTAGACGTGATTGATGAATCGAGAGACTTGACGGTATGCTACTGTTCATTATTCATTTCTCGCTTTCTCTCGGACAGACAATACCCCGGTCGGATGCGTAGAAGTAATATTTGTTTGCTCACTTAGCCACAGAGAGCATTCAGATGTATGCTTCATATGTCAGCGAAACACTGGTTTAAAGTACGATGTTTATCATTTACTGACGTACGTTTCACGCGAGAACTGTTTCTACATGCATCCATTCGCGAACTGCTACACATGTCAAAACCATCATTTCAGAATTAATGCAGTTATATCTATGGTCGAATAGTATGCAAAAGGTCAGGGAAAAAAGAGGGTATAGATGAGAGAGATTCAAGGATTGTTCTCTCCAAACAACAAAAGAATAACATTTTGAAAAGACACAAATTACAGTTCAAAGTTCATTTGAATAAACGATATTTTGCAGAAGGAAATAATTAACTATTAAAATGAAATGTATCACCTATACTAATGCGGATGCATTTTACCACAAAACGTTAACGGTAACAGCAACTGTTTT